TCCTCTCTCTCTCTCCTCTCTCTCTCTCTTCTCTCTCTCTCTCTCTCTCTCTTCTCTCTCTCTTTCTCTTCTTCTCTCTCTCTCTCTCTCTTCTCTCTCTCTATCTCTTCTCTCTCTCTCTCTCCTCTCTTCTCTCTCTCTCTCTCTCTCTCTCTCTCCTATCTCTCTCTCTCTCTCTCTCTCTCTTCTCTCTCTCTCTCTCTCTCTCCCTCCCCCTCCTCCCCTATTTATTTCTTCGCGCCCTCTCCCTTTTCCTTCTCTGCTTTCTACTCCTTCTGCCCTTCGCGCAGCAAACAGCAAAAAAGACAATATATCGGTTGTAAAACAAGCGTCTGTCTGCAGAGCTGCGCCTCTTGGCCTGCGAGAACGCACAATCAGTGCCCACCTGAAGCCCCTCGCAAGCTTAGCGAAGAGGACGCTGACGAGGCAAATCTGCCACTTACGTGGGCACGGCGATATTGTGGCTCCACTTAGCTTCGCCGCGAGCGGGGGGCGTGTCATGATGTATGCATGAAACGTGAAGCCGAACTTAGTTTGGAGGAGTACCGTTTCCTTTAAATGTGTTTTAAAACGAGTCATGCAATGCATCCGTCACGGAGATGGGTTTGGTGGTTGGGTGTTCCGGCGCTTCTAGGCCTATAAAAGGAAGGGATTATGCAATGGTACCATGCGGACCCTTAAGCGTCAACACTGGCTCACAGTTTCCCGATGTCAGCCAGAGGCCAGCAGGCCAGTTGGATTTTGGCTCCAAGCTCAGTCACAAAGCACATTGCGCTTTAAACACCCGACCTCTCCGTATTGTGCGCTCTTGCTCTCACTCGCTTTCATCATAAAAGCTTGAGGCCCTCACAACAGGTCCCTCCGCCATTGCGGTGGGCTCAGCCTCGGGCGAGCGGACCGTCGCAGCTGCTCAGCCTGTGTAGTGCTTCGAGCACGGCGGCCCGACTCAGCTTCAGCGTTCAAAGCGGGGCGATAAAATAGACAAAGTGCCTAATTTGCCTGTTCAAATTGAACCGGTAAATTGAGGGAGGCGGCTCCGGTGGACCGTGTCTAACCGCGCCGTCGTCCGCGGGCCGTGTCACGGACAGGCCGGCCGGCGGGTCTGGGTCGTGGGGCGCGCCCCGCCCCTCCCCCGAGTCCCTGGCGCCGACGGTCGGACAGCTCCGACAGCGGGCCGACGAGAGTTTGAACCGTTGAGCGGCCGACCGTGCCGTCCGCGTCGCCCGGGGTCCGGCTCGCGGGCCGGGCCGGAGCCGCCCGGAAGCGGGCCCCGCCTGTCGGCGCGCGGCGGGGTCGCGGCGGTTGTTTTACACGGCGGAGCTGAGACGACCTGTCGCCACCCCTCCAGCCCTATGAGACTCGGCTCCTTCGGCGCCCGCGGCTCGGAATAGCGCCGTCCGCCGCGCCGATCGGCGGACCGGCCACGGCAGCTGTTCGCAGCTGTGCGACCGAAATACGCGACGGACTCGCCGCGTCAGCGACGATGCCGACGCGGCGGGCCGCGGGAAGAGCGCGCTGCCGCTGGGTCTTTCCTGGAGAGGAGCGGCGCGGCCGCGACCTGAAGTGAGCACGGGAACTGACGTAGGCGGTCGTCTATTTGGACGGGCGGAGGTGCGCCGCGCCACGAGATCCACGCCGTCGTTCGCAGAACGGATGGAGCTCCAGACGTGTTCGCGCGGTCTGGAAATGTTGATCGCCAGAAATTGTTCAGTCCCATTACTGCTCGTTCACTTTTGAGTGAGCTGGGCTTTGTGGATTTATCCCAATAAAAGCCATTGGAGCGAGTCGCTGTTATCCGTGCCGCCAGCTGGAACTCAATCCAACTTCTCGACAGTTACTGATTAGCTTATTTGTGAATTTCGAGTGGACCCGAGCGCTATTGTCTTTTCGCTTCTCTGCAGCTGTGTGGCTCCCTTGATTGTATGGATTCGCGCTCCTCAACCCCGCCCATATTAATCTCACGTGCTCCCTATCTCTCTGGCGGAGCCGTCATCGTTCCTCCGTTGCTCTACCCGCTCCCTGGCCATTTCTCTCGCTCTGCCTCGCCCCTCGGCTCCCCATATGCCCATTTTAATCCCGACCGACGACACGGCCGCTCCGGGTCGCCAGCGCCGACTCCAATTTACGATAACGTCGCCGGTGAGCTACGGGAACACAAAATTAAACACGGCCACCAGCCGCCGGCCACCGCCCCCTGGAAGGTCACACCGCGCCGCCGCCGCCGCCGCCGCGGGCCGCTGCCGCCTGCGTGCGCAGGCTGTGCCGCCGAGCTCGACGCCCGTGCCCCCCTCCCCCCGGCCCCGCCCGTTCTCGACTCCGACCGCGTGGCCGGGTGGTCCTTTCGTGGTGCCTGACTGATGTTGTGTATGCCCGGGCAGTGTGTGGGCTGGTGTGTGCACTGGTGCGGGCGGGCTGCCGGCGGGCCGGTCCTGGCAATGCTCGGTGCTTTGACAATGGCCCATGCGTTTCGCGACTGGGACCGGGTGTCGGGTGTGCGGTGCGCCGCCACCGCCGCGGGCGTCTCCTTAGCATATAGAGTGAGTCACCGTTGACCGATCAGTACTACTATCGTTTGGACACCACGTCGCACGTACAGGTCGTCACTCCAACGGTCGTACAACAGCGCTCGCTCTGCCGCCTGTAATGCTAGCCGCCCGCCTTGTGATTCGCGTGTAGCGTGCCCCGGCGCCCGACCGAACCCGTGACGGGCGTCAATACGACGGCCGCCCGCGCCGGGCCGCGTGTGACGGCTTTACGTGGACTGAGCGGCGTGCTCAGCCGAGCGCGACCGGCGGCGATATGTCCAGCGCCGGCGAGTGGAGCGGCGGCGGATATGGCAGCTCGTTTGCGCCGGTCGGACGGCCAGATTCGCGCGGCCCGTGTCGTTGTAATGCGGCGGTGGCCTGATTGGATGGTGCGCTGGCCGGCCGGTGGCCGCGGTCGGGCGGGCGGCCGGCCTGATGGATCGGAGCCGACGACCCACGCCGCCGCCGCCGCCGCCGCCGCCGCCGCTGGCGTAGCCGGCTGGACACAGACCGTTCATGCACAACGCCGCTGGAGCACCCGAACGGAAACGGACACAGACCACAAACACGCAGACACAGACGACCGCAGGACGCCCGCAGGACGCCCGCACACAACTGCGGCTACAGCACACACACACACACACACACACACACACACTCACACACACGGCCAACGATGCGGGGCATCGAGGTCGGACAGTCCCGAGAGTCGGCCAGGCTGGAGGCATGTGGCGGCCACACGCCGTCTGTTTGCACAGACACACACACACACACACAACGCGATACTCCATTGTCACGCGTCGGCCTGCGCTGTTGGAGCGCCTCTCCCCGGCGTGAGCACATAAACACGGGAAGTAATGGAAGTGCACGCGTCCAAGAAACCCGCGGCTGGCTTGTAGCGAGGAACTGTGCCAGGAGCGCGGTGTGTAGAGTGCTCACGAACATGCAAATTAAGCCCGGCAGACACGCTTTCGAATATGCGGCAACGAATATGCGACGAATAAATGGCATGCCGATTGATCAGGCGAGTTGCAAGAGAAACGAATCTTCTGCTGTGCATAGCGTATATGGGAAGCATTGCAAGCGCTGCAAGAACACATGAACTGTACAGCAAGTGTACAAGTGCCGAGCACAGAACAGTGCGGTCCAAGAAACGACGCTGCTCAAGAGAACCTGCCCGCCATGCAGCCGAACTTGGATCGGCCGAACAGGATCCATCATTCCTCTGTCACCTCTGTCATGAACAACCCTTTGGGGCCGGCAAAAGCTCACGCAGGTCGCTCGGCCGACAGGCAGTGCTTAATGGCCGAGTAAATGGCCGTTATCGCTGGTGGCTGTTCGGTAAAATGGGCCGTAATCACCATTGTCACATCCCATTCAAGGCGGGCAGCCTTTGTCGTGCCGGGGGCGGCGGCCGGCGC